TAATGAAGCAAATATGGCCCAGGTATGACAGTATTACTTCTAGTCATTACTAAATACAGGAATATAATGGACGAATTTAAAGCTAATGTAATGGAAATACGGAAAATGCTTTTCCACTTCCTCTGTATATGCCCAGCGCTATCTCAAATCAGACACAGAAGACATGGAAACCCATCATGAAMCAAACTTTAAATATGTATACATCCACAAAACGGATATATATAAGTAGTTTCATTGAGTACAGCAAATGGTTTGTGTGCAAAGAAGAAACCAAATAGTAARATTATAAAGTTCTTAAATTAGTGCTGACGGTGGCTTTACTCCTACCTACCTACCTACCTTTCTCCTGTTAAGACATTACATTATGGAGAGTTATTCGTAAACGAGAAAGAGATTTATTATTTAAAACTTGCTTGCGAAATTCGCTCGAAAATTAGACGCCTCTAAGCCCCTTGAAGTTATGCCATCACTTTGATAAAGGTGCGCTGGCAAGTAAATCACATTCCAAGCTAATTAAATGAATGAGTACATAAATATACCTATATTCGTATATGAGCATTTTTCCGCTAAATAAGGGATTGAAAAGTAATAACACAAGATTTCGATTTACTTTTAATTTACTCTGGAATTCAGTGAATCTCAATTAACAAATACAGTAATATTTACCTTATTTTATTGAAGTAAATGYTTGTCTGAAAAAGGGCGAGGAAGGCGCCAACTATACATTTATAAAATCCCTTTCACACCTTCGCTTTTATATTAAAATTAGTACACACATAGATGAGTTCATAAACATACACATATGCAGGTATATATTGCCAAATGTTTAGGCTTGCCGTCACTTGCATTCGCGAGGTAAATAGAAGGTTCCTACCGTTTGGCTATTTTGTGCTAATTGACTTCGAATTAAACTTCTCAGTATGTTCCGTGATATTTGTTCTTTTTCTCTTTCAATCCCTTTGGGATGGCTTTGCTTTATGTAACGGGTGATCCAAGTAGATATGCTTTTTTCAATATCCTTTTTTGAAACATGTGTCATGTGCCAGCGTGTGTCATGTTATTTTTGTTTGGCATTTCAACATGAAAAGTCTTACGTCTGACAACTTTTAGAAATCGTTAATCTTTCAACCCCAGTGGATATGGTATTAACGTCGCCTCGGATTTGCCTGAAACGGTACTTAGCTTGGTAAACTTGTCTGCTTTTTCGTTGTCGAAACAGTTCTTATGGTGAGGGCTCCTCATATTATGGATAAGTGAAGTAGGCCTGTCAGTTGCCAATATTAATACCAGCAATGATGTCTGACWATCCTTGGTTGCTATCAGTATCCTTCTGTAGCTATTCAATAGAACAYAACTGGCCTGCTCTATACTTAGCACTTGCGCTTGGAAGATGTTGGGTGAGTTTGGTAGTCGGATAGAGATGGAGACTTCAGCTAATAGTGTGCTCTGCTGCCCGAAATGATAAAAGAACTATTCGATAGATAAATGCATTCCTGGCCTTATTACACTTATTTTGTATTTCGATATAACTTCCACAAATTACGTTTCTTGACCAGCATATGAGATGAACGTTTCAAAGCGAAGAGCGTGTCGAATATATGTACATCTACATTTAAAAATTAATATGCTAAAAATTTTGCAGCCACTTTTATGAGTGCCAATAAAATTTTATGAAATTTAAATGCAAAAAAATATGAAAGAACTTTCCCTATGCAATTCAATCTACTATTTATTTAGTGGCAAGCCAGTACTCGTATGGTCATAGCTAATGATGTTTGCGAATTTATTTTTGAGTCAACAGCGCTTTTACCAAAAATATAAAACTAGCCCAGTTAATATTATTCCGCCACCTAATACTAACAAGGAACTTCGTATAACGCCCACGCCGTGTTCGGCGAAAAAATCAACGGAAAGGTGAAAAGTGTCGTTTTCGCCAGCCAATMTTTTCYTTTTCAAAAAYATTCGCAAATTTAATTTTTCAGGAYTACAAAAACATCCATTTACACTCATACATCTTCGACTGGGAGTGCTAGGCACGTGGGTCAAAATCAACAAACCATCGACGCCAAAGGAGTGAAAGTGCAATGGCGAAATCAACAGATAAATATTTGCCCAAGAGCGCAGGATAGCTTTGCTTCGTTAGCTTAGGCGGCGTCGTAGGTGTGTACAGGGCGAGCGTTAACACCGAACTCATTTGCATGCGGTATAGAATAACTTTTTGAAACTTCAGAGCTGTGGAAGCAGTTCTCACTGCATAATTGATTGAACACACACACAAACAGATACATATGCATTATATGAAACGAGAAAGGGCGTCTGAGCGTCTTCAGCTTTTTTTATTAAATTGAATCCTGCATATTCTTAATAATGTGTAGTTAGTGTTAGTTCCATTACATTAGGCATTACATGTCTCAAAGTAACTTTTTGTGCTGGCGGAGAAAAACAGAAAAACAATATATGAGAAATCACTCCCAATGTAATTGCCGCTAGAGTACAGCCATCATAATCACAAGATTTTTCTGTCTCTGTGTTGGCTGTTTCCTCTTTTACAGACTCAAAGAGTGACTTGCTCTCAAGCAAGGAGTACAAAATGGACAAAAATCATAATTTAGAAGGCTCATAGCTTCCCACATGAAACCAAACATTACTCAATAATGTTTATAGGACCCAGGACAAAGAAGACTCGATTACATGTAACGGGTGATCCAA